AGAAAGCAAAAGAGGTTTTTACCATCAGCAGTCTGATGAGTGGAGAGCAGAAGGAGAATACCCAGCAAAGCAGCCAGACTGGTCTTACGAGCCACCTGATAAGCCTCTTGTGGCTCAAAATAGTCATTAGCCTGTGTACTGTTAAAGTCTGGCGATAGCAGTGTCGTTGGCTACCCTAAATTATAGGGGTTGACTATGAAGCTGAAACTGCAGTCTTGCAATGTGTGAGCAATTTAGCGGTATATGCCATTATTATGATTTGGGACAGGCCATACGGAAATCATAATATCTATATAAATATATGCTGCGTATTTATTTATATATATATATATATACAATGCTTGTTGGGGGAAACTATTATTGTCTGTAAATTACTGGAAGCAAACTTCAGCTGGAAATAACTCTGTTTATGTAGGCCATATACAAAGCTACTGTATATGTTTAACTGTCCACAAGCGATTTCTATAAGAATGTGCAGGGATGTTTCCAAGCATCAATAACTCATGAAGGAAAAAATATCAATACTTATTTCCAGTCACTCTGCCCATGTGTGTTGACTGGTTATGACTTTCTTTCTTTTGCACAAAGAGTGACTAGGAGGGATAGTGTGAATATGACAAATACAGCATGTGTATCTGTGCCTTTAAGAGTCACTAGGCCAGGGCCAAATGTTGAGAAAGTCACCCAGTGCCTTTCTCATGACCCCTAAGAGGAGGCCTTCTTTCTTCTGGATCCATGGATGATGATGAAGATGGGACATCACACAGAGAACCCAGAGAAGGGACAATTAACCCATCCAACATCCCAACATGCAGCACATGTCACAGCTGACACTGAGACACCAGGTGGCACTGTCTGTTTACCCACACACAATCATCTAACTGCTATTCTTACTACCACTGTGACAGTCATTCACAAATGCCTATTTCTATATAATGACAAGTGACACATCTCCAACAACACAGCACATTTCATATAGAACTACCTATCCCACTCCTACACTGTGTCACTTTCCCACAGTTTATTCCACACTGACACTAAAAATATGAATGTTTGTATATGGTTAAAAATAGTAGTAAGTCAGTGAATGTGGGCATGAGTTGCAGTTCATCATATGTCTAATAATTAACCCGAACATGGTCCTTAGAGGTCAAAGCAGCCTTTTAAAAATGCAGCTAATACTGCAGTGTTCTACATTCTTTAATCACAGCATTAATCCTGGGAAGATGACTTTAATTAAGGTAATATAATTAGATTAAGGTGTTTACATGACCTCATGCTTAATTACAGTATTAGCATCAAACTAAGGCTGAAGTATCGATGTACATGCTGGAAGTGACTGGTAACATTTCTTGTTCATAATCAAATGACTACAACGACAGACAAAATGACTACATAAAAAAAGCCAAACGGCCACCGAGAAATGCAAAATGATCACAAAGTGACACAAGATGAAAGATGTGAAATGACTCCAGTCAAAGGCAAACTGAACATGAATGGATGTACAAAGTTAATATGAAGAAAAGGAATGAAATCTAGAAACACTGGTGAGATTATTCTACTATGTATGATGTGTCTTACACAGTGCCGGCTCCCTGTTTATCCATCACTGCCAGGTCAAACCTACACCAGTCTCCCGTCAGGTTCTTGTTCTCTTGGGGCCTTGTACAGAGTTCCAGTGAATGTAAATGCATAGGATTACCACAGGCACTGGCACAGTTGCATGGACTGACAGCAAACTACCTCAATGAGAAGGAAGAAGTGCACCGTTGTATTTCTGTGTCATTACGTATGTACTGATAAATCCCTCAATCTCTTTCCTCAAATCAGAACTGTACTAGTTTCTGAGGACACATACATGAAGAATGTGAGCTTAACCCCTGCTGTAATCCTGGCTCCAACTGGAAAGGGGCTTTGCCGTACATCCATTTGGTTTTATTCAAAGAAATAGGCAATTAGAGATAAGGCCACCATTGTAAGTTGAATGGACTGCCTCTCCCAATTGCAGTCTAAGGGACATATAATATATTTTGGGATGAAGTGTTGTCAGAGTGCCAAACAGGGAGTGAAAGAGAAGACAAACCAATGTTATCGCATATCAGTGCCCTAAAAGGCCCAATGTTAAAATAATACATGTAGCTAAAAATAATTCTTGTAAGCCTCTCACTCACTACCCTAAATCACTGGGGGTTGCCATAGAACATCTGTAGTGGCAGCACAACCTTCCTTTCCCTCAAGTCCAATGGAGCCTTTGAAGCTTGTATGGATTGACCTTGTTAATTAAATAAGTAAAGTCCACTGTGAAACCCACCTGGAAAACAAATGAAGATGTTCTATTGCCACATGGTGTGTCCAGAAGAGTAGTCATACAATGGCTGGCTGATCCACAGTTTGTACTTCATTGCCATGAACAACAGGAATTTGGTAAGGGACATTTAGCTTCATGATGTGCTCATGTCAACACATTCACACACACACGCACACACACCACTAAAACAGCGTCAGTGCCAGAACTAAAAAAAAAACTGCCTCTTTCCATTGCAAACTGTCCATTTTATTGGAGCTGGGAACATCTAAAAATAGGACAAATCAGGGGTTGTCCAGATGTCCACTTGAAGGGACCGAAGTCAATACAATCAGTCAAACCATTCACAAGAGTCCTGGCAAACACTTTATGCTTGTAACATTAGCAGCAAAGTCAGCAAAACCTATCATTATACTGTATTTAGTAAGTGACTCTTTCTGTGTTCCTGCTCCAGCTGTCCAGATAACATGAATCAGAGAGTCTGTACCAGACATTTCTAAGGATAAAATCCTAAACACAGGCAACAAGGATATTTTCTACTAGTAAGTGTGAGATAACAGAAAAGGTTTCATTCTCCCAGAATGTGATTTTTGTGTTAAGATTAGTCACACTGCTCATTGAACTAAGGGTTAATGTAATCAAATAAGCAGATCCAAATAAAGCGTTACATAGGCAGTCATAATGTAACAGGCCACATCAGTAAACTTGAATTTGATCTCACAGTATTGTGTATTTTCAGATATTCTTATCTTATGTGTGTGTGTGTGTGTGTGTGTGTGTGTGTGTGTGTGTGTGTGTGTGTGTGTGGTGGAAAAACTTGTTTTTGCTAGAACATACTACCAGGAATGAGCCTCTGGCCTTGATTTCTTTACACTTGTCTTTATTTAAAAGATTACCCCAAATCTTTGTGAGTTTTATTCTATTCCAGTTCTATCTTCAGTTACAATCTATACATTTATTTCACTGTTATTTAATTTGTTGCAGTTAATTGCCTCTATATAACTTAGGAAACTTAAAAAAGCACATCACAGTTTCCTAGAGCACAATGTGTTATCATCATTTTGTCCAACCAGCCATCCAAAAATCCCAAAACATTAGAGAGACAGTATATATATACTACTTTTCATCAGAATTAATGTGACAGTTCTTTTTTTCCCCATCAGACTGTGTTGACATTCTGTGCAGAGATTGTTAGCTCACTTCCTGCTTTAACTCACTCAGCTATATCAGGGACTCAAGGAGCACACGGCTTTCCTGTTACCACAGGCTGCTATTCATGAACATTTCCTCCCAGTAGCTCAACCACTCAGTGTCTGCAGGACACACCTGCAGGGCGAATTATGGGGAGTTAAACACTGAGATCAAGGTCAACTACTGTGCTCGTATTGTCCTTCTGTTAGTCACTAAGAGGCATCACTTCCAGTCACTGCTTGAACTATCTTAAACATGGTAACATCATCAGAGGAGTCTGGCTGGGAACATGGCAGCATTTCTCAGGTAATACCCCTCCCCTGGGATGTACAAGATAGCCTGAGAGTGCCTGTGTCAGCGCATTTGGCTGTTTTGGCAACATCGTTGAACTACACACACTAGCTTTGGGAAGCCCAGAGCAACTTCAGGCAAAATGTGAAGCTCCCACTTGCTTACATGTCTCACAAGCCAAAAGAAAGTCACCAGCCTGTCTGCTGGAACTAATATGCATTCACCTGAAGCACTTTAATGGATATCTCCTGTTTTTCCAAATCAGTCTACAGCCAAGTTAAAATGTCAGAGGTAGTTCACACTTGAGAGCTGAGCTGAGAAATCAGCTAAATGATTGAATATGAAGATCCAGCATTCCCCTGTTACTATTTATTCTGTTAAATCAAAAGTATGTGCAGTCTGATGGAGACTTAGTTTTACATGAGGCCTCTGCCTCTGGGGAAGAAGCCATATAAAGTTGTCACAAGAAAACAACTATGTCACTACCCATCTTTAACAACAACAATAATAATAAAAAGAAGATGAAGAAGATTTTAATATTTACATTTTCTTGTGAGATGTAAATTTTTCCTTATGTATAACAGTTAACTTTTTAGAAATTTAAAACATTTGCAGTTCCACTGTGCCCCAATTTCCTAATCAAGGAGATGGCCGGGGAAAAGTAGGCTGCGTGTACTGTACAGCTATCAGTGAAAGTAGGAGTTTAATACACTGCTAGAGGGAGTGATGGCTGTGCCAGAAGCTACAGAATAAAGGGATTATTCTTCCCTAGAAGACATAATCATGTGTAACATACTTGTTTCAGATCCTGTGAAAAACAAACAGGTGTTTCAGCATTAATCCAGCCCTTCATCTTCTGTTTTGGTAGTTCCTCATTAGTTATTAGTTTATGTCAGGATATTTCAGTATTGTTCATCTAAGAATGATGTGTTGAAGAAGGGAATGTCTAGAGATATTTTTAAAACTATGCTGAAAATGAACAAAATTATTGTTAATATACAGTCTGTTGTCTGATTTGTTGATAAACTGGATGAAATGTGATTTAAATGTCAAAATTAGTCTAAGTGATGAGCGAGCTTTTCTTGGGAAACATCATTAGCCAAATATCTGCATTATTTTATACACATCTGAAATATGAAGGTGTGTTAAGTATTTGGTACATGACACACTTAAGAACAAATTAGGAAACGTGTGAAATGAGTTCTGCACTAACCTGGGAGCCCCCACAGAAAGGTGAATGAGAGCAAAGCAAGTTTCCTCCGAGAAGTAGTGACCTCCATGGCTGATGGCCCCAGTTTCCACTTCTCACTTGGATAATGTCCTTCACCCAGATGAGTCAAAGCTCTTGAAGTCAGTCAAGTGGTTTTCTTTCACTCTCCCCGGCAGAAACGTTAGCCGCGGCAGGTAAACGACACTTCAGGTGAGGAAATGTTGATGCCGTCCGATGCCACAGCCGCAGGAATCCTCTTTCCTGACTTTGGGTGAGATGGTAAGAAAGTGAAGAATAAGAAGGTTCACCACGTCCGACACTGAGGGCTAACCGACTCTTCTTCTCCTCGTCTTAACGCTCAGCTGCTTCTACACTTCTCTCCTAATCGACACGCCAGTGAGTACAACTCCGCAAATTGTCATCCTGTCCTTTGCTGAGAGGGAGAGTGCGGGGAGAGAGACCTTGAGCGAGAGAGGGAGAAAGAGAGAGAGCGAGAGAGAGAGAGAACGAGGGGGCAGTGAGTTTGCATCAAGTTTGCCCTAATCTCAATGACTAGTTCCGGTTATTATCTTCAAGCTAAACCCCACTGTGCACAAACATGGTTTTGGTGAAAGCCTTAAGTTTCAGTCCCTTTTTACTGTGTTTTATAAAGTTGACTGACATCCGGTATGTCTCTACCTATACAGTATTTTATAAAGTGGCGCAGGTACACCTGTTCGCTGATTAGACGCATCATGGATAGGTGCAAAAGATGCTTTAAATTTAAAATATACTTTAGAATATATACTGTATGGTTTGATCTGATGCCACTTTGTTGTGAGAATATATAAAAATGTTGCCTCACGTCCCAATGCGCGCTACACTGCTTCACACACGGATTGACACATTATACAGTAGCTATAAGATGACAAATGGTTAGGCTACAAATCTCAAATTAGCCTAAATGTAGCCTACACAGCTGTTGTTTAGCTTTGTAAATTTAAGAGGGTGAGTAATAAAATGCATTTTGAACGTTTCATACGAGCTTAACCCAGCCCCACCCCCCGCACGTCCAGAACACTACCACTACAATCATTTCCTCTGTTCCCATATTCATCATTCTAGCTGAAATGCCTCGCCGCTGACCTGTCACAGCCCTAGCCAAAAGGGAGGCTTGATACAATTCTAGGCAGCTCTAATACAATACAAGTCAATTTTCAAACCCACACAACTAAAGCTCCATCCTTTTCCCCATGAAAATCTTCTGCTCCAGTTTGGTCATGTGTGAACAGGTATGGGTCTGAAAGTACACAGACTGGACTCATCTTGATGTAAATTCCCAAGGTGAGCTCACCCCTGTGATGTAAAAATATGGACTGGCCTGTGCTCTCAGAGGTGGTCAGACCCATTTCTTTCATTTTCTAAGGTTGCTCAGTTGCCTCAGCAACAAGGGTGAGGTTAATACAGGAGGACTGCTCAATTACGAAAGGTGAACAAGGGTTATTCCTGTGATTAAATCCAAAGAAGCAGGGTCCAGTCCTTATGTGGATGAGATTTTGTTGTGTTGTAAATTGCATCTGGGCCTCTAGCACTAATATTCAGTACAGAATTCAGGGCAAAGCTGTCAAAACAGGTCTGTTTTTATTTTGGTAAAGAAATAATTTGATCAGGGCAGAAAGGCTAATATTGGCTCCTGGGCCAGACTCCTATAATCTAAACAAGCAAAAATGAAGTCTGGTCAAAACAGTGAGCAAACCTGACACCTAGATGCCAAATATATCGCTATCGCCACTCAATTGTTTATCCAAGGACATACTGTACTTAGGATATTGTTTTAGTCTTTTTACTTTAAGCTTTTTATTTCTCAAAAGAAAAGAGAACACAAGTGCCCACAACACAAATGGTAACAAGATAGATTGTACTCCTGTCTACTGTCCTCAGTCCTTTCTACGTCCCACTTCTTTTTAGCTAGCCTCTTCCTCTGAATGCTGTCCTGTACTTCCTTGTTCCACCACCATGTTTCCTTATCTTCTTTCCTCCTTCCAGATGACACACCTAGCACCTTCCTACCTGTCTCCCTGATCACTTCTGCTGTAGTTTCCCAGTCATCTGGAAGTTCTTCCTGACCACCCAAAGCCTGTCTCAACTTCTGTCTGAATTCCTCACAACATTCTTTCTTTTGCAACTTCCACCACTTGGTCTTCTTTTCTGTCTTTCCTCTCCTCTTCTTCCTGACCACCAGAGTCATCCTACACA